CTCTTGGAAGGACTTGTTGATAATGTTAATCTGCTCTAGTACGTCAGCAAGGAACATGACAAGGAACCAGAATCGGTAGCTTGTCACTATCCTGAAGAGCTGGGTGTCCGTCCACTCCATGAGCATGACGACGAATCTTGACAGACCTAACCACAGGCTCACCGCGGGAGAGCCATCAGATGTTAGGAATGCCTTGAAGTTCGAGGTTCGTTGAGGTGAAGACATCTTGTAGGTCCAGGAAGCGTTGGTGCCATGGGCGAGAGTGTCCAAAGTACTCTGCAAGCTCCTTGATGACATCATCAATCATCTTGAATGCAGGGAAGGAATTCGCAATTGCCTTGGCTGCCAGTGCCTCTGTGGAGGGTGGGATAAAATGGACAGATGGTACACTAGTATATACAGTATTAGTGACATGTGAGTGGGGTAGTAAACATTCAAGCAACACATGCAGAAACCACCAGTGCATTAAACCCGAGGTACGATAGCAATAATAAAGATGGCTCACTTGTACGCAATACAGTGACACAACACCAAGTGCGGAATCGGCAACCACAGTCGCGTCACGAAAACAGTCTTCGACCCCATCATCATGGCAGCGCCATCGGTGCTTATGTCCGCAACCCGCCGGAGGTCGACACCGTTCCATTACTTTCTGTTTTCCATCTTCCCTTTCCATTTCATTCCTCTTTTTATCCTGATTCATTTGGTCTTTATCTCATTCCATTTGGATTCCTATTCCTCCATTTCCATAAACCTTTGGTTTATCCTGCTATTATCATTATATCACCGACCAGGCTTGGGATGTACTGGTCGCTATATCTAGCGTAATCCTGCCGTAATCCCTTAAAGCCAATAGCCTCGCGTGGCTATACGCAGGGTGATTCTATTTCTAGAAGGGTCTATTCCCTTAGGATAAGATAAACCTGGTTACCTGATGTACTCTGGAAGTATAAAAGCGCCTTGTACTGATCGATAGTGCAACCTTTCCTCGACACATTCGATCCTGTGACACTTGGTAATCAGAGCTTTTCTCACTCGCCGCGCTCAGCTAAGCAGCAGCAGCGGGGATCCTGCCTCGAAAAACCGCCGGGGGCGACCAATTCGACGCCGATTCTGGTAAGCACCAGCTCCGCGATTTTTCGAATTACCCCCTCCGCGCGTGTTTTGAACAGGATGGCAACCTTCGACAACGCCGAGGTTACCCAGCAGCTCTTCGCGCGCATCGCAGCCCTTCAGGAGGATGCGAGCGGATCGCGAAGCGTGGCGAAACGAGTTCGAGCGAGTAACTCGACTCGCCGGAGCGCAGCACGAACGACAACGGCGACGACGCAGCAGTCGCAGCAGTTTCTCGAGGCTCCGAAACCGCGCCCACCTGAGCCGTTCGATCCGAGCGATCGAAACTCCGACGCCCGCAGATGGATCGCCGGGATGGAGATCTACTTCGCAGCCGTCGGATGGAGCTCGCCAGTCTGGGACGGTCAACGCGTACGACTCGCGGCGACACTGATGCGAGGGCCGGCACTCGAGTGGATTGGCGGCAACAGCACTTCATCCACGGTGAAGCCACGTGGCAGCAGTTCCGCACCGACCTGCTGAAACGCTTCGAGCCGATAAATTCGAGTTTCCTTGCCCGGGAAAAAATTCATCGCCATCGACAGTTCGGGAGTGTAGCGCAGTACACGCAGCAGATGGGAATTTTATAACCGCATTCCCGACCTGACCGAAGGGGAAAAAGTACAATCGTACCTCGCCGGGCTGAAGACCGAAGTCAAACGACAAGTGGCAGCGTCAAACTACGCGAGCTACAGTGACGTCGTTTCGGCGCGGAGCGCTTCGACATGGTCAACGCCGGAACACGACGGACGCACGTCGGCAGTACGCGACAGGGCGACCGCTCGGCTCACCCCACGTTCGCCGACCCGATGGAAGTCGACAGTTCGAGGGCGGCCACGTCCGAAAAACACCAACTACACGTGTGATTTTTGCGGGGTGCCGGGTCATCGAATCTTCGACTGCAACAAAATGAAAGCCGCACGCGCAGAGTATCGGGCACGCAACAGTGGCGGAAATCCTTCGGCCAATCAGAAGACAAAAAACGGGAGTCGCCAGTGATTGCGGATCTAGCTGGCGAAAAAAAAAGATCCGAAAGCGGCCGCGGGATTCCGGAAAAATCAACTTCGACGAAGCTGATTCGACGCGAGAAGGAGGAAATGATGGGGGAAAATCTCCACCCCACGACCAGTCTTCGCCAGGGAAATCGCCGAGGAAAAATAACTCCGCGAAAAAAGACTCTGCCGAGACGGGGAAACTCCTTGAAGACCCAAGAAATTATAAGATTCGTTAAAGTTATCTTATAAAGATGCTTTAATGAAAACTTAATTTCGAGGGGCTAGAGCCTTGGAGAAATTTCGGGAGGGACTCCAAAAGAAGCAGAAACTGTGGAGATTATACCGGTATCCGGGAAAACTGGGGACAAAATTAAGGAGTGTGGAAAGAAGCCGACCTTTCCACGGAGTCAACGTCCTCTCCCGACACCAGCCACAACGACTACCGTCCCAGGGAAGACGTCGGTGGAGTGAAGCAGCTCAAGAGGAAGCTGGGGGTCTACAAGAAGCTGCAAAACCCCGAACTCCTCCTCAGGGTGCAATCCACTCAGCAAATTTCGGCAACAACGACACACACAGTCTCAAAGAAAGCTCCAGGGTCCTGAGGGAGAAACTTCTCCAAGCAGCAGCCTCGGCCAGCTGCAACCACGAGCAGATAGTCAAGACAAAACGGTGTGTACGGAATATTGGGATGTACCCTATGATCCCATAACGAAACTATCTTTGGGCACTCCGAGCAACATGCCCGCCCCTCGTGGCTCGGAGGTCATCTGCAAAGCACGACACCTCCAAGCATCGTGGACAGCAGAGCATCGCACACCGTCTGCGACAAGGCAAGTATTCCGACCGACTTCGGGAAGAGTACAAGCCTTCAGTATTCTCTGCAACGATGGTGGACGGCAGCAAGTTACAAGTACATCGGCGAAGCAGTGTTACACCTATAAATCGGAACCAGTGTACTGGAAACCTGCACTCCCCCATCACCAACATAAAAGGGCTTGACTGGATCTTCGGCGAGACTTCCTAAAAGATTCAACCCCGAGATCAACTGGGTAAATCGACCGCAAGCATCTACAACAATGGAGGAGAGTCAGCTACCCAACTGGGACGATACGGAGATATCCCAGTGGAGACACTCGCAAGATTCGAGAAGGATGTAAGGAACCCACAGCCGGTTCCTGCGATTAAGCAGAGGATAGGAGAAGAGGAGAAAACCCTCGGGAACTCCACAAAAAAATCAAGGAATTACTGAAGTTCCAAGACATTCTTCCCCGACGACCTTATGAACGAGCTAGCCGCCATACGAACGCACCCAGCCTTCTTAGATTTTGTCATTGCGGCATTCCAACACGCGATCGTGGAAGGAACAGTTCGAAGCCGACCTTCCGAGCACCATATCGCTCAGCCCCACGGAGCTACCGACATGAAGAAATAGATCGAGTATCTCCTCGCAAAGGACTCATCCGACCAATCTACTTCGCCCTACGGTGCCCCAGTACTCTTCACCCGAAACCAGACGGAAGCCTGCGCATTGTGCATCGATTACCGAGCTCTCAACAAGCAGACCATCAAGAAACAAATACCCAATCCCACGAATCGATGACCTGCTTGACCAGCTTCGGAAGCCACGGTATTTTCCAAACTAGATCTGCGGTCCGGGATACTGGCAGATACGATGGCGGACAATTCATCCACAAAACTGCTTTCCGAACTCGGTACGGATCGTACGAGTATTGGTAATGCCGTTCGGACTCACCAACGCACCGGCAACGTTCCAAGCCGAAATAACCATATTCTACGCCCACTCTTGGACGAATGCGTGGTGCTTTACCTGGACGACATCCTCATATACTCGCGCGACATGCAGCAGCACGTCCAACACCTGCGACGCGTCTTCGACATTCTTCGACGGAGAACGATTCTAACGTCAAAACTATCCAAGAGCGAATTCGCCCTTGAGAAAGGTCCAATTCCTATGACACATGGTGAGCGCTCAAGGAGTTCACGTCGACCCCAAGAAGATCGAAGCCGTACGTACGTGGAAGACACCCAAGAACGTGAAGGAGTTGCAGCAGTTCCTAGGCTTCGCTAATACTACAAACAGGTTCGTGCCACAGTAGCGAAAATCGCAAAACCACTCACGAATCTGCTGAAGAAGAACACGCCCTATAAAGTGGGAACCAAAACATCAGGAAGTCGTGGAGCAGCTGAAAACAAGCACTCACATCCGCACCGTACTCATCTTGCCAGACCCCGAACGCGACTACGTCATCAAAGCTGACGCTAGTGACAGGCAGTGGGAGCAGTCTTATGCAAGACCAGGGGAATGGACTGCAACCAATTGCCTACCTCAGCAAGAAACTACACGGGGCAGAACTAAACTACCCGATACACGACAAAGAGGCCCTTGCTATATCATCGCCTTCAAAACGTGGAGATGCTTTCTCGAAGGACGAAAACAACCGTCTACACCGACCACTGCAGCCTGAAATATTTTGAAGACACAACCAAACCTCTCCAGGCGGCAGGTCCGGTGGATGACTTCCTCGAGACACACTTCCACTACGACATCGTGTACAAGCCCGGCCAAAAAACAAAGCAGACGCTTAGCCGGCCTGCACACGTTGCCGCTATCAGTCGAAGGGATGAATCCACTCCTCAAGGGACTCTTCACACACGGGTACACCATCGACCCCGAAATTCCCTTGGCAGAAAAGCGACATCTGCTACAGTGGGACAACGACATCGCGTACCGGAAAGGATCAAAAATCTGGGTACCCTAATTACCCTCCTTTGCGCCAGTTACTACTCGAAGAATACCACGACGTCCTGTACGCGGACACTTCGGTAGCAACAAGACGCTCACCGGTATCGCCAAACACTACTACTGGCCCCACATGGCATGACGTACAGAAATTCGTCACCTCGTGCACTACATGTCAGCGGATGAAGAGCAGCAAGCAGAAAAAGGGGGTCTACTACAGCCTCTTCCTGTCCCAGAACAGCCATGGCAAGTGGTAGCCTAGACTTCATCACCGGGTTACCACTACCACAGCGGTCATGACGCATCCTCGTCGTCATTGACAAGTTCTCCAAAATGGGACACTTCATCCCGACACACACACAGCACGCACCGAGGAGAGCACAACTCTTCGTTCGCTACATCATCTCACAACATGGCATTCCAACCACACTCATCTCCGACCGAGACCCTAAGTTCACCAGTAAATTCTGGAAGGAACTTATGTCTCTGCTCGGACCAAACTCGCCATGTCATCCGCTACCATCCGCAGACAGACGGACAGACCGAGCGCCTCAACCAAATTGTGAGCAACTCCTCCGAGCAGCCTGCAAGGACGACATCTCCAAATGGGACTTGCATCTGCCCGTCCTGGAGTTTGCCTACAACAATGCTACACGCTGCTACTGGACAGACGCCGTTCTTCCTCTGCTACGGACGCCACCCACTCACACCTCAACAGCCAAACATACCAGCCACAGTCCAACCGCTCATGATTTCATCACGACCATGCACAACTTTGGGATCGGACCCACAAGCGCCTTCTCGACATTCAGCAGCAACAGAAGCGCCAGGCCGATCGCCATCGCACAGACCACACCATCACCGTGGGAGACCAGGCTACTCGACACGCAATCTGACATCAGCCATCTCCCATCCAAACTGCGACCTCGCTTCTGCGGGCCTTTTCTCGTTGAAGCACAGGTCACTCCTGTTACCTTCCGCTTACGCCTGCCAGCTACCTGGAAGATTCACAACGCCTTCCATGTCCAACTTCTGAAGCCCTACCGAGATCCCAACACGTCTTCTCTGGACGCCAACCGCCGCCGCCGCCCGTCCTCGTCCATGATGAACCCGAGTACGAGGTCGAGTCCGTGCTTGCTCACCGCCGTCGACGGAATGGCACCGTGGAGCTTCTCATCCGTTGGAAGGGTTATGATCCTTCAGAGGATAGCTGGGTCTCTGAATCCGAGATGGATCACGCTCGTCGTCCTCTTCGCGACTACCTTGTCAAGCAGGGTGTTACTTCTACCACCCAGCTTTGGGGGGGAAGTGTGAGAGTACGACCCCGTTCCATTACTTTCTCCTTTCCATTTCCCTTTCCATTTCATTCCTCTTTTTATCCTGATTCATTTGGTTTTCTCTCATTCCATTTGGATTCCTATCCTTCTTTTCCATAAACCTTTGGTTTATCCTGTTATTATCATTATATCACCGACCAGGCTCGGGATGTACTGGTACGCCATATCTAGCGTAATCCTGCCGTAATCCCTTAAAGCCAATAGCCTTGCGTGGCTATACGCGGGGTGATTCTATTTTCTAGAAGGGTCTATTCCCTTAGGATAAGATAAACCTGGTTACCTGATGTACTCTGGAAGTATAAAAGCGCCTTGTATCAGTCGATAGCACAACCTTTCCTCGACACATTCGATCCTGTGACATATAGGCTGCCCTGAAAGAAGGCTTTCGAGAATTCCAAATAGTGGAGCTCGTAGTCACAATGTGCGGCTATATGGAGGAGCATCCGAAGAATAGTCATCTTCGGGTAGGGGAGAAGGTATGGAAGAAGTCCACACCCTCTCGCGGATTGAAGCCTCTGGCCACATACCGTGCCTTGAATTGCGGTGGCTCTCTAGGCGGGCGCTTCACCTTATAGATCCACATGCCATCGACTATGTTCGGCCCAGGTGGAGGAACTACATCGACGCAAGTGCCAGTGGATCTATAAGATGCCATATCTGCCTCCATGGCCTGTATCCACTGGGCTGCCCAAGGCCCCAAGACCGCCTCAGCGTGTGAGAGCAAGGTAGGGATCTCCAGAGTGTCCGGGTCACCCTCAGGGGACACAAGCATGGCGCAGAGGTGAGGTACAATAGTCGGAAGGAGAGCTAGTCTGCACTGCCTATCCTCTAGAACGTCACTGCCATGGGCAGATGCACCTTCTACGGACGGAGGACAGGCAGGTTCAGAGACCAGAGTGAAGTCAGCAACAGCAGCGACAAGGGCAGAGAGACCCTCAAGAGGAGCGGCAGGGTCAGTGACAAGCGAGGAAAGTAAGCGAGAGACGACTAGACGAGCAGTGCGAGCAGAGTCAGAGCAAGGGGCAGGGGACAGCGGGAGCAACGCCTAGGGAGGTAATGGCAGGACGGTGACTAGAGGAACACGAGAACAAAGGACCATAGGGCGGACACGAGCACAAGGAGAGACAGGACGATCACCAGGGGACGACGCACCCACGGGTGGGCAACAGGGGACATGACAGGGGATGGAGGAGAACAAGGGGGGAAACGAGCCGGGGACAAGTCCGGGGGAGGGAACGGCAGGCCGTAGACAGGGGGAGGTGGGAGGAGAGGCCGCCATGGGAGGGACGGGTGGGCGGTCCAATGGCCGGTAGAAGAGAGTGCAGGTTGAGAGCTTGTTCGCACCGAGGGTGCGGACGTGAGCCTTGCAGCCTTAGATATGGAATGAAGACACGTCACTAGGAGACCCAGCCCATACGAGGTTCAACGAAGCCTGTGGCTGCAATGAGCCTGTGGTGAGCCGCCTACCGTGGTGCGAACGGCCACAGAAAAATGGGGGTCACTGACATGGACCATGGAGGTGCGGGCCATCTCCATGACAAGGGGTAGATGCGACGCTCAACTACCCCACTATGCTGCGGAGGGTGAACATCTGGATGATGCCCTCCGCACAACAGAAGGCACCAGGTCGACAAAAGGCAAACTCGCCACCATGGTTGGAGTGAAGGCGGAGCACAAGCAGGGAGCGCTGGTGCGGACGACATAGAGCCACGAGAGGAGGGCATTAAGCACGTTAGCGCGTCTTGAACACCGGCGGCTCTCCAGGAGGGCGCTTCATCTTGAAGAGCCACCAGCCATCGACTACGTTCGCCCCAGGTGGGGAATGCGTCATGTAGGTATCGGTAGATCTCCAAGATGCCAAATCCGCGTCCATGGCAACTATTCACTAAGAGCCCAGGTCCTGAGGTCGCCTCAGCGTAGGTGCGAGGGGTCGGGATGTCGGAGGTGTCTGGGTCCCCCTCATGGACTAGCAGCATGGAGCAGAGATGAGGCGCGCCCTCAGAGAGGAAAGCAAGCTCGCACTGCCCGTCCTCCATGATAGGGTCAGAGACCAGAGCGGTGGCGTAGTCAAGGCGGCAGGTAGAGGCAAAGTCAGCGACGGCAGCGACAAGTGCGTCAAGACTCGAGACAGGAACAGACAGGTCCGTGTAACGAGGGAGGCAAGGACCCGAGAACAAGAGGACTAGCGTACAAAGGTAGTCAGACAGAGGAGGTGGGGCAACAACAAGCGACGACGGAGGAGGCGACGGGAGGAGGGAGGACGAGACGCGTGGGAATGAAGCAACATAGGGTGGGAGCACTGAACACGGGAGACAGGACGAGATGTGGGACCGAGGCGTCGGTCAGGGAACATAGGAGGAGACATAGGAGGGAGAACAAGGAGGGAAACGAGCCGGAGACGAGTCCAGCAGAGGAAAGAGAGGGCCGGAGACAGGCAGAGGAGGCGGCGGTGGGGAGCGTAGGCGGGTGGTCAGAGGAGGGAAGACCGAGGAGGCGAAGAGCGGACACCGGCGGTGACTGCGGTGTAAGAAATAGAGTTGAAATGATTGATTAGGTAAGGAGCCCAGGGCTTTATAAATACATGGCAAGGTGAGAGAGAATTGATGAAGGGGAATCAAAGGGAATCCCCATTGGGATCTCCGGAATCTCCAATTGGGTAATTGGAGATTGGGAGGATCAAAATTGGGTAAGGTTGGGATTGTGAGTACACCCCAACCCACTAGAACATTCATAACCTAAACTAGGATATAAAAGTACAAATACAAAAGTGGTCTTTGCAGTCTATTTCTAACACACCCCCATAGACTGCAAACCTGGTCAAGGAGCACATAGCCCTGTGGAACGGAGAAGGCGATGGTGGTCAGCCTTGCCGAGAGCCTTGGTAAAGAGGTCGGCGAGGTTGCAATCTGAGGCGATGTACTGTACCGTCAGCTGGTCACTCTGAACAAGATCTCGGATGAAGAAATGACGAAGTTCGATGTGCTTGGTGCAGGAGTGGAACAGAGGATCCTTGGTAAGGTGAATGGCGCTCTGGTTGTCACACCACATGGTGGGCGACTGCTGGGGGTAGCCTAACTCAGCGAGGAGAAAGGAGAGTCAGCGTGCCTCTTGAGCAGCCATTGTGCCTGCGTAGAGCTCGGCCTCGCAGGACGACAGGGAGACTGCAGAGGACCGAGTGGAACGCCAGCTGATGACTCCGCTACCAAGGGTGAAGCAGTACCCTTGGGAGGAGCGTCTGTTAGTCTAGTCATCGGCCCATGAGGAGTATGTGTATCCCTTGAGCTTGACTGGTGAGGTACCACCAAGAGTGAGGATGTGAGACTTTGTGGCTTGTAGATAGCGGAGGACCCTCTTGGCTGGAGACCAATGCGAGGCAGTGTAGCGTCCGGGGGAGACGTACCGAGAGAGGACACTAACCGGGTAAGCCAAGTCTGGTCGAGTGCACATCATGGCATACATGAGTGAACTGACTAGCTCAGGTTACGGGTCCTTGCAGGCGTGAGGAGAAGGAATTGGAGGGGCCGTGAGCTGATGCTGTAGTGGGAGTGGAGTGGAGACAGAGCTACTGGAGTCCATGTCGAACCGCTTGAGATGGTTGTCGATGTAGGACTCCTGGGAGAGGGTGATCGTGCAAGCCTGGCGGTCACGAGTGATCTCCATCTCCAGATAGTTCTTGAGATCACCAAGATCCTTCATGAGAAGGGCGGAGCTGATAGCAGACTGGACAGCTGCCATCTCGGCTAGATCTCTAGCGACTAGAATGAAGTCGTCGACGTAGACGAGGATGTAGAAAGGCTCGGAGGAGTAACGAACGAAGAGACTAGAATCTGAGGTAGAGGGATGGAATTCAAGTGCGAGGAGGACTTCCTTCACCTTGTTGTGCCACTCACGAGGAGCCTGCTTGAGGCCATACACCGGGCGCTTCAACTTCCACACTATGTTGGCAGGGTAAGTGCCAGGAAACCCCGGTGGGCGTTCCATGTGAACATCCTCCTTGAGCTGGCCTTGGAGAAAGGCGGAGGAGGCGTCCATGGACTTGATCTCGAAGTTGCCGCGAGCAGCTATATCAAGAAGAGCGAGCACAGTCGGGAGCTTGGTCGTGGGCGAGAATGTTTCGAAGAAGTCGAGATACTCCTTCTGGGTGAAACCCTTCGCTACGTATCGTGCCTTGAACAGTGTAGCTTCGCCTGGGAGTTTGTTTGACTCGGAAGATCCATTTTCCGCCGACGATGTTGACACCGGAAGGGGAACGACATCGTCAAAGCTGTTTTGCAAATGAACGCCTCGTTCTCCCACATCCATTGCTGCCTTCCACTCCTTCTTATAAGGTCTTGAGAGAGCTTCCTCTTTTGTGCGAGGAGTCGGAATGGTCGGGTTCTTGGTGAAGTTGAGGGAAGGGCAGTCAGTAATGTCCGGGAAGATGTGAGAGAGAAATTGGCAGACCGCGTGAAGGTCAAACAGCTCCTCATGCATGTCCTCCAGAAGTGCACGGGGGGAATACGGATGGAGGGGACATCACCCCCGGAAGGAGGAGGCGGGGTGACCGAACAGCGGATGGAGAAGGCGGCTGGTCCCCAGGCGAGAGGCGGAGCCGGTCCCTTGGAACGAGTGCGACTAGAGACCGGAGACGAAGGCGGCTGCGGTGGGATCGGAGGGACTGGGCGCCTCCGGTAGGAGATTGGTGAGCCGGGCTCGACGCGCGGGGAAGGCGGAGCAGGAGGAG